CAGGAGTTCATGAAGGCCTTGTCACAAACGTCATTCATGAAGAATTTCACTCCTATTCCAGGAGGGTGAAGATGTTATGAAGGCTTTAACCACACACTTTGCATGTTAGTGGTTACTCCCCTGTGTGAACGTACAAGTGATACACTGTTCAAATTCCTCATTACATACCTCACACTTGAAGGGATTCTCTCCTGTGTGAATCTTCTGGTGTGTCAGGAGACCAGAGGATTGAGTAAAAGCTTTATCACAAATCTCACACCTGAAGGGTTTCTCCCCTGTGTGAATCCTCTGGTGTCTTAGGAGGGTTGTAGACGCTGCAAAACCTTTGGCACAAACCTCACATCTGAAGGGTTTCTCCCCTGTGTGGACAGTCTGATGTCTAAGAAGGCTTGACAACTGTCTGAAGGCTTTAGCGCACACGTTGCATGTGAATGGTTTCTCCCCTGTGTGAATGCGTTGATGTACACGAAGATTCATTAAGTGTGAGAAGGATTTATTGCACACCTCACATGTGAATGGTTTCTCCCCTGTGTGAATACGTTGATGTGCATGAAGATTTGATGACTGTGAGAAGGATTTTCCACAAACCTCACATTTGAAGGGTTTCTCCCCAGTGTGAATCCTTTGGTGCATTAGGAGCTCAGAGCATAGCGTGAAAGACATCTCACAAACCTCACACCTGTATGGTTTCTCTCCTGTGTGAATCCTCTGGTGCATCAGAAGCCTGGTAGATGTTGGGAAAGCTTTATCACAAACCTCACATTTGAAAGGTTTCTCCCCTGTGTGGATTGTCTGATGAGCCTGGAGGTGTGATAATTGTGTGAAAGCTTTGTCACAGACCTCGCAGGTGAATGGTTTCTCTCCTGTGTGAATACGCTGATGAACCCGGAGGTTCATTAAGTATGAGAATGATTTGTCGCACACTTTGCATGTGAATGGTTTCTCCCCTGTGTGAATGCGTTGATGTTCGTGAAGGGTCGACGGTCGGGAAAAAGTTTTGTCACACACCTCACATGTGAATGGCTTCTCCCCTGTGTGAATACGTTGGTGTTTACGGAGTGTTGACGAATGTGCGAATGATTTATTGCATACTTTGCATGTGAATGGCTTCTCCCCTGTGTGGATACGTTGGTGTACACGGAGATTCGATGACTGTGAGAAGGATTTGTTACACAGTTCACAAGTGAATGCCTTCTCCTCTGTGTGCATGCTTTGATGTGTGTGGAAATTTGAGGACTGTCCAAAATCTTGGTCACACACCTCACACTCAAATAGCTTCTCTTCCATGTGGCTGTAGAACAAATGCACTTTGTGCATTAGAGGATCTTACAAGGCTGCGGAGCCCTCATCACACTTGAACAGTTCTCACCTCTCCGAGTGAATCAGTTCATGGGGCTTGATGGATGACTGAAGCTCTCACCACACTTGGAGCCACTCACACTTCTTCCCAACCTCACTCTGACTGATCACCCACAGCCAAACCTTCAGAAAGGTTGGTTCTGATGGGAGGCTCCACACCACTGACCAGTTTCAGATCTGATCAGAATTCCCTTGACCCGACCAATTTCCAGCTGATGGTTTCACTGCCCAGCCTTCTCTGTGTTGAGCAATTCTGTGAAGGGACTGGATGTCTTCCCTCAGTTCTGCAGTCTTTCCTTGGGTGATGGTCAGGATCTATCTGCAGTGTCTATCCTCTCTGATTCTCTGGTGTTATATGATGTAATCTTTCTGTAAAACAGGAAAAGGAAACATGATTTCCTCCAACTCCCTCTCTTCAAAACAAGTTCAAGGAAACTTACCACTCCCCACCGAACTGATGAATGAGTACTTCATTTTCATCATCCCAAAGGAATAGACTGTGGGCAGATCCCAAATCTGGGTGTCCATGAGGTACAGAGAGCGATCAGCAGCAGCACAATTGAATTCTACCACAATCTCACAGCTCGGCACAGGTCTCATTCCATGATTATCATCAAACCAGAAGATAGACAGGTCAGGAGCAACACTGGAGATACAGAGGGCTACAGGCAGACTAAACACCAGTGTAACAGGTAATAAACAGAGTTGAACAGTCCCACAACCAACATACCAGAAAAAAAAACTCTGTAGTCCCATCCGATCTTATTGAGAGTTGTGGACAACCATTCAAAGAACAGGAGAAGGCAGCTCCATGAACATCTCCATTCACAGCCATGAAGGAAGTTGGAACACGAAAGCAAGAGACAATGTTAAAGTGTCTACAGGAAAAAATATAGAGTAGATGATCAAAACCACCTCCTCCTGAGGAGCTGGGAGAACTAATCCCTCCCCCACTCCTGAGGATTTCAATCCTTCTCACAGTCGAGAAAGTTGAGGTGTCTGATGATCACTCCCCACTCACACAGATAGGAACATTGGCAGCAACACTGATCAGTCTCAACAATATAGAGAACACAGCAGTTCCCCTAATCACAGCCATCCTATTGGACTCAATCCTGTCAGTACACCATCCAGTAACATTACATCACCAGAATATTCCAGTATATTTGATGATTTGTCCTGAACATCATAGGATGTAGTCTGTATGAACTCTGTTCATCCACTCACTGGATATTCAGTCTTTGACATTGATGTGGATTTTAAGAAATAAGATTCTCTGACAATTTTATCTCTGAAACCTTCTGTGATAGTGCAGTGCTCCTACAGTACTGATGTCACAATGGAGTCTGCAAGAAACTATTCCCCATATTAGTGAATGATTTGATTGATTAGATAGAAAGCATATCTTCAAATTCATTGCTCCTATGATGCTGCTTGGCCTGCTGTGTTCATCCAGCTCTGCACCTTGTTGTCTCGGATTTTCCAGCATCTGCAGTTCCTACTATCTCTTCAAATTTGCTGATGAGTCATTGGCATCGTCTAAAAATTACAGGCAGACATTGCAAGAGTGAAATGAGGAAATACTTGAACACACAAAAGGTGGAAGAAGAGATAGTAGGATTGGAATTTGCTTCCACAAACAACAGAAGGTATGAAGTGTAAGTCTAATATATTTTTGTTCACTAAGGTTTGAAGAGGGAAAGGGCAGGAATATTGATCTCAATATATGGTGGGAATACTTGATACACTAGATGTCTGACTGCTATTCCTGTGTACAGCCCCCTCAGCACACCCTCAGTTTTACCCCTCCCAAGGAAGCAACTCTCTTCAGTACTATCCCACCAACAGGGCAACATTTCCTTAGGGGAGCTGTATAAATTATAGTGCACAGGATAATAACCAGCTCCCAACATACAGACACAAGCAGATGTCAACACCAGTAAATCAGTAAGAATCCTCAGACACTCTGCACCTCCCAGATAATGACACCTCAGCTTTTCAAATTCAGGAATGATTCATCAACAAAACTCAGCCTGGAAATCAGAAGGGAAATGCTTCCAATA